GTTCTTGTGTCGTTCCAGCGTCGCATCTAATACAATGAAGAGTACACCATCTGAAACGGGCGGGGCCTGCTACTTGGCTTTCGAAAATTTGTTGTAGACTACTTCAAATTACCTTGAAGTTAGCGGTCTGCTGTTTGCGGTTAACGTCAATCTGTAACACTCTAATTACAAGGTTGGGGCGCATTCGCCAGCCAAATCTAGAACAAATACTAGAACAAATTTTAAAAAGTTGAGTTAGGTTTGGCACATGAGTGGAGCGGCGTAAGAACCAATGTCCCTCCAAAGTCGCATAATGCGAAATTATTGCAACAAGCTCTGCCGACTTTGTGTCGAACTTTTGTCGCTCCAAATTCTCAGAGTTCTTCCGTACTTAATTGATTCATATGTGGTCAATTAAGGCGGTTTGTTCGGCACATGACTACTATACGATTCAAAGTTTGCCGTGTCGCGGGCCGCTGATTCGATTCCAACCCGTGAAGGTCTATACGATCTTGCATTTTTGGCAGCTGCTTCTGACTAGGTGTAAATAAATGTATAAATCTCCATCTATATTAAGGCATGACTTGCCGTCATTCCCTTCAAACGTTGAAGTGTTTTTGATCTTTTTCAAGAGTATTTCAAACACAAACCGCGGCAGCTTTTTGCTAATTTCAACGATGACGATCCGGGGCGATTTACTAGCAATTGTGCGTACAAGCGCGGTGAAACAATGCCATAATTCGTCTCATGCACGGATTATTAGCAATATTCACACCTAATTTATGCTTACTAGTACTTACGATGGGGATTAGAAAACGCCGTAAATGATGTCGCAGCATTATTACCAAAGTCAAGCCGTAGTTTGATAAAAGATAAGAAACAGACTTTTCGGCTAATAAAACCACGACAATAAGCCGCTGTCGGTTTGCGGTCTGAACTAATCATAAATCACACGAAAAATATGAAAAACACCTCGAAGTTTCGATCCAGGAGGTTTCTAACATGGCGGGATTAAAAAGCCTAATTCTTCTCAAAAGAATCTTCTGCATTTAAAAACTGGTAACAAAAAAACTGTTGTGAAACTCATTAATAATTCATGACGAAAACACAAAAGAGATCATGAGCGTGAAGGAGTTTGTATATCTGATACAGAACTTGACTTATTCACTTATCACTCAGTATCGGAATGGAACTCATTACCTATTGAACTGAAACAATCTACTAATCTTAATCTCTTTAAATCCAAACTAAAACAATTTATCTAATTAAGTTGAACAATTTATCTAATTAAGTTGAGTTTTTTTTTTGTTTTTTTTCTAACTATGAAGTATAATTATATTTTTCTAACTATGAAGTATAATTATATATGATCCATTTGTAAATATTTTATAGTTTTTAAATAAGCACAGTATAGTTTACCATGTATAATATAGATATTTATAATATAGCATTTGTAAATTCTGAACGCTGATTGGCTAAGAGCCGTGTTGATATAACTCCATGTCAACACGGGAAATTTTCCGCCGCTTGTAACACGGAAATTGTTCTTATTCTTCGGGATTTTGACATTGCTATATTATAAAACAAATATAAAACATTTTTTCCGTGTTGATATATAGTTATATCAAAACTCGTGGAAGTTGGGAAAACTCGAAATTGTGTGAAATCGTTTTCCCAATTTCCACTCGTGTTGATATAACTGTATATCAACACGGAAAATGTTTTATATTTGTTAAATATTGCAGGACCTCCCTGAAAAACACTTCGGTGAGTGGAGCTTCCTGAATAAATATTATTATTATTATTATAATCATGCTGATTCACGTAAACTTTAAGTTCCATGGCTCCGACCAATTATCATTAATTTATTTTAAATTGTTGAAGAATACGAATGTACTCATCAAGACATTTCAACCGGATGGTCACTCATGTTGTAAATAGTATGATATGCAAAGGGCCAACTTTCTACGTCACACATACATAAGTGACTTACTTTAAAATGTTATATAATTTTGTCACTATCAAATAAATTCGCGATCGCACAAAATGAATGACGAGCACGAGATTTGTCCACAACAACACCCATGTATAGGTTTTCTTCTGATTGTGTTTAGTCGTATTAAAGATATGCAGCTTTTAGGGCTAAATCATCATTACTGCCAAGGCATTTTTTAATACCATGGACTGGTGGGGCATTTGCCCCACTGAGCCCCTTCCTCTGCCCCACCACTGAAGAAAAAAATGGCCTATTGACCCAAAGCCAGGGCCCTAGGACCTGTATTGAGTAAATGAGTTTAACATTGAAAAGAAGTTTAAAAAACAAAATTTGTTGGCGAGCATACTTAAACTCATGTTATGTTTGAATGTTTAGCATGCAATTTGATTACAAATTTCACCATTAAAACTTTGTTTTGAGAAGCTGAGATTTTTATAATGTATTCTCAGAATGTATGAATGTAGTATTTCAGAGACCCAATTTAAAAAATTTCCTGGGGAGACATGCCCCAACCTTCAACCCCCTAGCTAACTCGTGCCTGCGGTACTCTGCTCACACCTTCGGCGATCGCATACTATGCTGGGGGAGGGCAAGGAAAATGGCAGTTTTGCCCCACCACTGAAGAATCCTTAAAAAATGCACTGATTACTGCATATGTGATGTAGAAAGTTGGTCCTTTGCATATCATACAAAACGGAAATATATCAAAGAAGTTACTCTACAGTTTTCAATGATCTTTCAAATTAGACTAAAAAAATAACAACGTCAATTTTCGAGTCATATGCCCTTTAACAAATACGCATACTCTTTGCACGGTATATGTCTTTCGGAGATGAATATCACCGTTGTTCATAAACACATTCGTCACCGTTATTCATAAGTATTTTCATTTCCCACGTTAATTGTCATTATCACTGTAATCTATTTTCTCATTTTATCTCAGATTAATTCCAATAATTTGTCGTAAAGGGGCGGACCATTTGACACCCTAGAAGGGGGGGAATTTTCCTTGTAAGAATTTTTTAATTTCAGAGCTTTGACGAACTTTTTAATGTGTGAAAGCTGTGTACGACTTTCTTCTATATATTTCTGTACATTCCATGTAATAGCAGGTTTTTTCTTTCCTTAAATGATCTATCTTGAACCATCACGTCAATTGATTGCTAGCTAGTCACGTAAAGCGAATCTGTGAATCTAAACCACGCTTCGTTCGGTTCACCCACGCGACGCAATTGCGACGCAGTCAGTTCGGATACAGAGCTATCAACTGAGTACTATATTCAATTAAGAACATATCATGAGCTCGTCTTCGACTCAAGTAATTTGTATATAGAGGACATTACACGGCGGCGCGAAGATATGACTTTTATCTTCGAGTGGTGAAAACAATATTGTCACGTGATCGATATCTTCACTAGTGAAGAGATGGAAAATATCTCACTGTGTATTTTTCAGTATCTCACGAGCTCTCTACTATATAATAAAGTACGATGCAACACGGACGCGAATGTTACAAACAGCTTGCATGTGAAACGTCTTGATGAGAACATTCGTATTCTTCAACAATTTTAAAAATAAATTAAAGATATTTGGTGAGAAAATTTAACCTAAAATTTATATATGGATTTATTGAATTAGTTATCAGCTTTACAGTGACAACAGGAGAAAGAAACAGGGCAAAGCCCCAAACAGGGCAAAGCCCCTGTATTAGATATACAAACTCCTTCACAAGAATATATATATATATATAGAAGCATTACATATCCGTGACCTCCATTCTTGCCTGCTTTTCGCGCTTAGAACGGTTGTAGGTTTTACCAACAGCGGACAACGTTTGTTGAATTAGCTGTACATTATCATTGATATTACAGCTCAAATCCCTGTTAGGATTCAAAACAAGGTCTGCGCAAGGTCAAGGCGTTAAAGCTTAATTTTTTTATTCCTGAAAATCTATTTTAATTAATTAACCAGAGTAAAACTTGGTTATTTGAAAACACTGGCATTCTCTTGAAACGTTGAAAATAAAATGCACGTTATCAACGCATGTGCGCGCAGAGTCACCGTGCATGCAATGCAACCATGCATTGTTTCAGTCTAAACTGACAACCGAACCTTGAGAAAACTCTTTAATTTGGCCTTTGCGGTCATGAAATCCACTTACATGCAGACGACGAAATACAATATGTAAAAATCCAAAAATCCGAAAAAAGGAGAACCATAACGTGAAAAATAAGAACTACATCTCTTGCGCACGATATTTAAATTAGTTCGATGTATATTTTGCGTGTCTTGTGTGTATTTCTAGGAAATATCGATGATGTAAACCCCCAGTGTTTGCGTGGCTGAAATTTGCTTGAAGCGCAGTTTGAGTACGAATCCTCTTATTTCGGGAAAATCCGCTTATTTTAAAAAGTCAAGCTGACAAATGGATTTGCACGTTATAAGACAAAAAACTGTTATTATACTACCAGTATGAAAGTGTTTGCTTACACAGTGTTACTATATTCTGTTGGAGTCTATATGCTGACATACATTGTTTGCGCGCGTTATAGCAAAGTCTGTTGATTTAAAGATTATTGAGTTTTACTGAACTGAGATGCGTTGGAACAAAGTTTGGATAGTCCCGTTTTACTTGGCGGATTTTGTCGTTTTTGTTGCAGCTTTGTTTTGCTTGATCTATTTTCTAAAGTATCGGAGATCGCCTTTGATCAGACGGTATCAAACGATCGTTGACAATGGAATATTAATTTTATTGTGTCTATTCTGCCTAGTATTACCCGCCTTCCATTTTGGAGAAATGTCTTCTATAAAGTGTCTATCACAATGGTTATTGCAAAACGTCATGTATGCCATATACTGTGGCTTGCTGTTTACGAAAATTCCATATTTTAGAAACACTCGGGCGGGCCGAAGAATAGCCTGCGAAGAGGAACATCACATCAGTGAACAACAATCACCCGTTTTGCGGGCAAGACAGGAATATACATACCCAGCGCTTTTTGTAATGCTCCCAGTTGTGATCACCATGGCAACCGTTCCGTTTTCAGATAATTACGAAGTTAAAAATCCCGCGTGTCCATCACGTGTCGGTCTGTGTCCTATTCAGGGGAACTCGAGTGTTTTTACATCCATGACTTACACCTGGAGTCTACTGTTATCCCTCAGTGTACTAGCATTGGTTGAAAATAGCACAGGGCAAAAAAGTTGGAAAATTCCGTGGCTAATTTTAGTTGGATTTTTATCATACACTGTTTTGGTTAGCCTTTCTTATTTTAAGCTTCCATGTTCTCATGATTCCTGGTTGAACTTTGTTGTGTACCTACTTGTCCTTATAAATCCAGCTACATGCCTAATTACTGTCTATTTACCTAAATTGCACCTTATTAGCACATGTTCGCTTCATTTGAAAAGTTTTCAAAAATCGTCTGGGAGCATGCGCAAAGGTTCGAGGTACCAAGACTCTTCCACTGGGGAAGTTATTGTTAATCATTCACTTCACGCAGGCTCCCACGAGGGGTCGCGCGCAGGACTACTTGCGGGACTACACGCGAGTACCAACCACGCATCCACACGGCCCGCGAGTTCTGTATCCGACACAAGCTCTCGTGTATTCAACATACAAAAATCTATTCAAATTGTTTCGAACCTATTTGGGCCAAAGGAGCCTGGATACCAGTTATTACGGCTGCCTAGTCACTATGACAACGTACGTGAACAAGTAATCACGTGGGATAACATTAGCCAATCATCGCTCACAATAACTCTTGCCAGTGACGTTGATGATCAAAGCATTGGATGTCAAAGTGAGGGCAGCTTGGAACTGGCCGAAATAACTTTTGAAGAATTGAAAGAGATGACAGAATTTTTAAAAGGCCTCAGGTCGTCGGATGTTTAATTGTTTAAAGGGTCCAGAATTCAACCGTTCATAATGGATTTTGTGCGAGGCGGGTTAGCATTTATTTTCGTAGTTATGAAACGGGGTAAAAAAGTAGAAAATAGTAGGATTCGAGAATCTACGGAAAATGAAATTTGAACACGAGATACCGATAGAATTGATACAGGCAAAAATTTAGGAAAATATATATTTAGTCTCAAAAGAGTATTACACCACACATATATTCAAGAAATTAGTTGTAATTTTGTCTTTTCTATATTACATTATAAACTATCACCCTTCTAGCTCGATTAAATTAGTCCTAGTATATTAGTCAAGAAGATAATATTAGAGCGTTAAATTTAAATAATGTGCCGTTAACATCTGTGTTGGACACATATACTGAATATACCAACCCATAATAAGGGCATAAATATATGTAAGCATAATAATTTACTACTATGTATGTTACATACAGTTTTTAATTGAGTGTATAAATTGATGACTCGATAAATTAATGTTGCATCATAATATTACTGTAATGTGTTCGCACTACTTGTTTCCAGTTCTTGTGGCGAGGTTGTAACAAATCATTACCGTCTAGCTTGCAACATTTGTAAGTGATATCAAAAACGTTTGGAACAACTTTTAACAACTCTGATACAATAAAGCTTCGGTTACTAGACGATAACAACTTGTTAGAAACTTGCAAGAAGCAATGCAAACAAACTTTTAATTAAGCTCTGATTGCATTGCTTCTGAGAAAAAAAAATTAAATTAAATATTTAACAGCTTTTAAGCTTTAATTGCCCAAGACTTTTAAAAGCCTTGGGCAAAGCGAGGCAAACATCGGAAACATTGTTCAGCGATTTCTTGTTCAAATGTTTTCCAGGTTTCTTACCTTTAGAAACACTGTTGCAGAAACACTGTTGCAGAAACAATTTGTTTCGCAGAAAGAAACTGTTTCCCAACGAATCCAGTCTGGTTTGTCCACCTTCGGGAAACATGTCTATAGGAAACAGTCAGTGGCGAAGTTAACCATAGCAACTAGTCATGCGACGAAACATGCTACGTAAATTATTCAAACATATACAGTAGAAATCTTTGGTTTTTGAATTTTTTTGGTGCAAGTTTATTAGCATAGCACGACCAGTTGACAAACATGACCAGTCGCTAGCTTCGCCACTGGAAACAGTGTTTCCGACAATATGTGACAAGATGTGAAATAACTGTTTTTGCCTACATTTTTGCTAGTACTCCGAAAACTAATCTTATCAAGAAATAATATAAAGGAATTATTTAGTTATTTTCATCAGTAGGGCTCTACACTTACGCAGTTACGCTCTGTGTTGTCATAGTTTTACGATCTTACAAGTCTGATGCTCTCAGTTTTTCTAACGAGGGCCATTTGTTCGTTTCTATATTGTCTTCATTTTGTCCATTTGCAATTACGTCACTGCTTCGATGTCGTTCCCAGTACGTAGAAATCTCATGAAGTAGTTCTTGCGGTGTAAGTTCGTCCGCTGTTTCTTCTGCCGCCTGCGATAAATTATCATAACTGCTACTGGCACTATGGACTTGACTCGCGGCTTCTAACCAATCAACGGACGGCACGCTCTCGAGGCTCGTACCCCCGTTTAACGACATCGTTCCTCTTCTACCGTAGCCGAATACGACATGGGTCTGTTCGTGGACACTTCGTACGAGTGACGTAGGGTACGACATGTCGGTGACGGCCGACGCCGGGCGGTGGTCGAAGTAATAACCCGAATGACGTCCGGAGGGGATCGCTAATTGTTCGGTTGAAAAGTTCGCGCCAAAAAGCGAGTCACTCATTGGTCCGGATGATTGACGTTTTGATGACATCACTTGCGCGCGTTTTATGCTAGTGAGGTTCTTCTTCTGACGTGTATGCTGACGTAACCACGTGGAAACGAGTCGCAGGGTTGGAATGTATATAAGCCCCAGACAAACAGCTGAATTGACGAGGTATGTTAAACATTGTATCAATGTTACGGCTAAATATTGTTCCATGCGTATATTGAAATACGCTAGCACGGTCGAACAAGTATAGGAAATCCACGCCACCGTTGCTACGGCAACGAGATTTTCAGTTCTGCAGAAGTTTTGTCGCTGTTTTAGTGTTTCTGTGACGGACAATGCGAACAACGCAAACATTAGAAGCCAGTTAAATGCCATGGAAAATAGAATAGCAAAGTTCCCTTCGATGTTGCAAAGCGTGACGGTCCCGCGCGACGAACACGAAAGATGCGTGGAGTTCGGGAAATCTAATACCAATAAATTCGCAAAAATTACCGCCTGGATAAACGTTATTACCGTTGCATATATCATTCTCCGCCAGGGTCGCTCTGTGGCAACTTCGCACTTTAGTAAATTTTGAACGAATAAAGTTTTGGTCAATAAAAGTCCGGTATAGAACGCGAAAATTGTGTTCACAATTGGCCAAAGAGCCATGCATCTTTGAGGCGCCATGTGACCGATGTGCATCATGGGTAGCAGGGAGAAAATACACAGGACTGCCAAGATTACGTTGTCGGGCCAGGAGTAACACAGTATCATAATAGGCGAGTTTTTGTGCTGTGAGAAATAAACGAAAGTCGACAGAACTGCAAGTAGGCATAAGCTTTCGAGAACATACAGAACGATAGCCCACGTATCTGTCCAAGCGATAACGACATTGTCGGAAATACATTGTGATCGGTTCATTGACTCGCCACAATGATTACAAATATCATTGTCAGTTGATGAATTCATAACGCCGTCTATTTGATTGTTATCAGTAGGGATTGAAGTAACATTGTTCGAATGAGTCGCATTTTTCCGATACAAACACAGCTGATGACGAATCTCTGATTCTGTTATACGCCATTCGCGAATTTTCCGAAATGTCCAACCACGCATCGTTTTCATACGGCGACCTAACATTGCAGAATCTTTAACTCGAAGAAGCGCTTGTAAAGAATAACTGTTAGCAAAATCTTTTCCTTTGGTAAGGGTAATTTTTCTCAATTTCTCAAACAGGGTGGACCCCGACAATTTTGGACAACGCCGGGGGGTTGAGGTAGCACAGGTTTCTAATGTATCTCTCAGTGCAGCGATAATGAGATTAACTGAGTCAATAATGCCTTGTAAAGTTAAGGATGATCGAAACTCATTACGATGTCCAATAGCCGAGACAATCCTCTCTCGAAATCCTACACATTCATTATTAAAACTTGATTCATTATGACTAGGGGATATTTTTGACTTCGCACAATGCTTTTCAAAAACCTTCTTCAACCAATTAGGTTTTACGATCTTGTCAGCGTTGTTTGGAAACAATGATTCACGCGTATCGGTTCTGTAATTATTGACATCGTTCGTCCTCAAATTACGAATAATGACTTTTTTGGTTAATTCACCTAATGTATCAAATATCCGAAGCAGGGGGTCGTCATATTGACAGACTTCAATCCACGTTCGATCTTTTACGATCAGTTTTGATCCCCTTCCATGACGGATGAGCGAACGGCTTATATTGGATTCAGCAAAAACAATAACAACGTCGCAACTGATGCGTTTCTGTACAGCCGTAATATCATCGTCTATTGTATTCAAGTATATAATATCTTTTAGCTTTATCTCACTTTTTCTTTCATTCAAAACCGCTTTAAACATGTTCACCCTTTCTTGCCACAGACTCGACTTTGCGACCACCACACTAAACTCCCGAGATTTCATATCATCTAAAATTCTAAGCAGGGCTTCAACGTGTATAATATCAGGTGGCACTGTTTGAATACGTTTCTCAAACTTACTGTAACGAAATCTGCTACTTGTCGTTGTATACGCGAGTCTCGGAACGTCAAATAGCTTGTACAGCTTTTCGGAGGTGCCTTCCAATTCATCAGTGGCAGGTCCCATTACAACTGGCATATGACCGGCTTCGTTTTGTTTCCCTTCTTTGTTTAGTATTGCATTTAAAACAGACAAAGTTTGTCTGAGACCGATTTTAACATCGCTGGCAGTATCATGTATAGCGTAGCCAAGAGTCAGATTGCCTGGTAGTAGTCTTTCTTGGTTAATTTCACGAATTCGCTGTATCATCGCACCCATCCACGTAATGCCCTCAAAATTCAGTCCGAAGCCTTTGTCGGAGTGTTTTCGTATTGGGAATAAACCATTTAAAACAATATCTCCTGGTTCATTGAAAACCCACAGAGAATCACGTTGTTTCGCTATGATAGGCTGTCCCAGCACCACGGACAAGCATAACCAAAGGCTGACCACAGCCAACATTGTAGCAATTATCACAATAACTTTAAGTCAATATAATATGTCCTTCTCAGAGCTTCTCTCCAATGTTCTGGGCTTCTGGCACAGTTTGTATAATCTGAAATGAATAAATATGAGCACTTGAGATCAGTACACAAACCCTAGGGGGAAATCCGGGGCCGGCCTAGGCAGAAACCACAATGAACGATATACAAGACCCTTGCCGAGTGAATCAGCATGAATTCGACCACATTTTGATCGTATTACCTATACAAGATCCGTCTCAGGTAGATAGGTATAAAATTATAGAAAATTTTGGATTATCAGTTCTAGTTTGAAACGTGTGAGAATGAGACAGCTCTATAAACATATATTCGATAATATTGTTTATATGACGCGACTTACCGGATTTTATATATGCTTAAAATTAGGTCAGTATTTGCTAAGACGGTTAACGAAATGTAAATAAAATTTTGGTGAAAGATACTCACGCGTGTTCGCTTACCAGCCCACACAGACGCCGTGAGTTTTGCATCACTTCCGTTTGCCCGCTGTGAGGCAACCCGCCTTCGTTACGTCACGAAATGGCCGCTAATGATGACAAATAGTTCGTAATTGATACTTATGATTGGTTAGCCACTAAGTGATTGGCTAACCACAGTTCTAATTGCTTGCATAGTCACAATAAATTGTAATAAAGTCTGGCACGAGGGTTCTCGAAATATATCTTCCTAAAGTTTGATCGCTGACGTAGGTAGGACTGATTCGGTGATCTGGATAGGAAAAAATTACCTATTTATAAGCACGTTCAAATACCTATTTATAAGCACGTTTTCTGTGATCACGCAAGTTTTGAAGGATTCGTGGGAACTGAGTCAGTTTCCTCAAATTAGTGCTCAAACATTTCTTACAAATCCTTCAGAATCCTTCATACCTATGCAAAATTCTAACTATGATGTAAGCCAGTATAAACTTTGATAGTGTAAAGCTGTATATAAAAGTATATTGCTAAATTTGCTATTATAGATTTAGACTACTGATGCACTGCCACTGATACTATGATACTGGAGTTATCCCATAAAATCGAGGAATGAGGCAGAATTATGGAATGGAAAATTCTTTCATTTATAGATTTAGACTACTGATGCAGTGATACTATGACACTAGAGTTATCCCATAAAATCGAGGAATGAGGCAGAATTTTGGAATGGAAAATTCTTTCACTTTTTTGTTCGTGGAATATGGAACTTTTTCCATACTGCTCAGCGGAATGAACAATTGTTCAAAACGTCATTTGAAATATGGAATTTTCAGTTTTACTTTGAATTAGGACTATTACATGTATGTCAATTTTTACGTGATTTAGCGGATTTTTTTAAAAAATCTATCCTTCAAAATGTAGACTAGAAATGATAGAGCTATATATCGAAGGCATTTAGTTTAGTTCAAAGAACTAAAGCAGCAACAATATTTTAAAACAAAATATTTACATTTGGTACTAAACCACTTGTAAGTGAGGATACCTTTGTTATTTTACATGAATTATATGGCATCAATTAACCCAAGAATGGGTCAAGAATCTTGTTATGTCCAGACGTGTTTGCTGATATATTTTGGACAGCATCCAATCCGTATGATGACTTTGAATTAAAGTAAAACACAGAAATTTTTTATCCTTCGTCTTGTAAAATCTTGTTATCCTGAGCCTCTACCTTATATTGAGCACTTAAAAGATATGCATATAATTTTATATAATATGTAAATACTAGTATCTAGCTACACTCTATATGGCACGCACACGATATTGTCCGATTGATAAATATGATTGATGCCTATTGAATATTGGCTATTATATAGTAATTATACAGAGTGTCCCAAAAACAACTGGAGTAGCTATGACGTATGTTTCTAATCTACTTTTTGGCGACATCTTGAGTAATATAGTCAATACTGAATTATGTAATGTAATGTAATGTAATGTAATGTAATGTAATGTAATGTAATGTCTTAGGTCTTCGAATTTATCTGTTTCAACTGTTCGATATTTCGATTCTGCTCGAAATGCCCTTTCCAGAGGTTCAGAGGTCATCCTTTATATTCTCCCTCGTGTTTCACAACAGGAGGAAATCGAAAACCTTGAATCTTAAATATGTTATATGTTCAAAAGGATTGCTATTTGTTTTAAATATAGTATAATGGTTTTCCGACAAGGAACTTATAGCGGTTCCCCATCAACTGGAATTTTTCCAAATCGCGGAGTGCCGAAGCCAAACCCATGCAGAGGTGTTTGGTATAAAGGTTTTTTGTTTTGATAGAAACTTATGGAAGCGAGCGAAAATTTCTGTACATTATATTCGACTGTGATTCTGGTGAAGACTTGCATGTAGCTCTGTTGTCAGAGCTCTTCAGTGAAGAGCTCTGACAACTAAGCTACAGTGTCCAGCTGCCGAGCACTGACCACAAATAGAACTGAATGTGATTATATGAAGCTCAAGCCCCGTTTACACTACGCTCAATTTTTGGTACGGCACGGATAAAATTGGTACCCGTACCATTTTTTTGGTTCTTGGACTACCTATTTAGGTAGTTCAAGAACCAAAAAGTGGTACGGTACCAAAAATTGAGCGCAGTGTAAACGAGGCTTAGCTAAATAGATAGTCCAAGAACCAAAAAATGGTATGGGTACCAATTTTATCCGTGCATGCCGTACCAAAAATTGAGAGGGTAGTGTAAACGGGGCTTCAACTACCTTTCTAATCCAGCAAAGGACAAACATGCATGCAGTGACAAAATCATATAATAAGCTGAATTGCATATTACAAGAATTGAACGCCAGTCTCAGAGGTGAGAGATGACCAGACACTCGCCTTCAACATTTTACTCTGTCATCAACACTTCACTGTGCCGCCTATACACTCAATTAATATTCGATGAATGACGTAAATATTGGGATATTAGGACATTTTATTTAATTAAGGGAAGTCATGAAAAAGATTCGAGACACTCAACCCATCTTATACATGCTGCACCAAAAATGGAGTATATCTTCATTTATACTTCTTATATGTAGCCAAAATCGCTAACACATTTATAAACTTAAGCTGTTAAAGGGATATATACAGAAACTGGCTGAGAAACAACGTTTTGTCATTTTCCAAGGATGTTATCATTGTGTCCATGTTTGGCAAGGCAGACCAATTTTATAGAAAGGGTCTCTGTATCAATGTTTTCCTCCTATTGTTTGTCTGTTGTGTGAAATTTTTAAACAAAGAGCGGCATGTAAAAATAACGCTACGAGTCATACGTTAGCTTTTTCTTATCTTATATGACTTATATTTCAATTAATAAATTAATGGTTTTCATATCTTATAATCACAGTATCACAGCAGGAAGATAAATTAAAACATTTTATAGTCTTTATATAGTGTGTTTGAAGATATGTAATCCAGGAAGATACTGTGATTTGTTTGAAATTAATTCTCCGGATTTAAAATAACTTTGTAATAATGAGCTTTCAACTTAGTTCTTTGAGTCTTTATTCGGTAAGACACGCAACAAAAAATGCATGAAAATAAATAACTCATATTTGTTATATTCACCTACAGGTGAATATAACAAAACCGTAATTTTCAAAATGGCGGCTAGCCGTTTTGTGGACGTTATACTGATAAAGAAATAAGCGAAATTAAAATAAATTCAGTCCCAAAAAACACAAAAATACTAAAACAATTATTCCCCTCAGGCTCGGTGATTATCGGGGAATATTCACCTGTTTAGCAAACAAAAGTGAAAAGGCGTCCTTCACGTCACGAGATCATTGTCTTAAAAACATTCCGTGCACACAAGCAACCGCAAAACTTGTCAAGAGAAACTTGTGGTAAACTCGTCAAGGAAACTTGTCAACTGAGGAAAATTTGCACGTCCATCTGTACGAGCCGGGCTTCACAGAGAAAGTAAATACTAGTCTACTCGACTATTCCTACTGAAAATACAGTTTACACAGAAACATTGGTATTGAGCATTAGTATATACCCTTAATACTATTTAACAATGCAGTTTCACTAGACTTTCATGGATTCACGTCTTGAACGGCATTCCGGCGGTGCCAATTGATGTACACAGCGAAGAACACACCGAGAACTGTATGCAGTGTAGATGTAATTACCCGAAACTATACTGAATATAACAAGGACCATCGTCTGGACGTCATTCCTATATACCCCCCAGAGCCCAGTAGGGGATTACCAGAATAATTATATACTTGTTAATGCTGGCTCAATATACCAAAATTTTAGGCTATAACGTCTGTCCAAATGTATTATAGGAAAGTTTATACCCATATTTCAACCTATTTTAAGAATATACCAAAAGTAAAAAGGTGTAAATACCATGATATACTTGATAATCCTGGCTGGGCCTGGTAAGTTGTGGTGGCCATATAGTAGCTATGCGAACTTATATGCTATAATGTACACCAAAAGTAAAATGGTATAAATACCATGATATACTTGATAACCCTGGCTGGGCCTGGGAAGTTGTGGTGGCCATGCAGTATACTATAGTAACTTCCAGACGAAGAGGCTTAATTAGCCTTAGTACTCGAAATGTCGACGTTCTGATGGATGTGAACGAGTGAATGAGTTATGAATGTTCAAATGAGGATACATATACTCAGAACATTCATAACTCATCTACTCATTCACATGCGTCAGAAGAAGAAAATCGCACTAAAAATCGAAGCAAAAATTGCAAGTGTAAACTAACGGATCTTTAGAAAGGAAGCGCAAAGATGCGGTCTCGCTGGAAATACCAAATTAATTATAGCTTTAATAGCATTTAGCCACAGATCACACAGACCTTGTAACAAAATTCCCAAAACATTGGAAGTAAAATATAATTAAATACCTTACATATCAGTTTACTGGCGAATCACAAATACCCCCATATTAGTATGCTCTATGATAGAGCATACTAATATGGTGGTATTTGTGATTCGCCAGTAAAATAGTATGGTAATACAGTTATAACTCCATAAGAAAGTCTTACCTTGTCTTATCTATAATATTATTGCCAAGGCTCTATTGGCTCTAATCCAGTCAGCCACTCATGCAGACCTTCGTTATCTCAAACCAGTTCAATGATGATTTAATTAATAGTTTTTTATAGCTTTAACATGAACACCGTATTACTGCATCAAAGTATTCACTGTGTCACTTATATGAAAACATCAACCTCAGTCAAGTATGTGTATGACATCCCTTTCAAAGTGATACAAATATCTTTCAACGCCCACTTCACCAATCAACTCTCATTTCGGAAATAATTTGAGGGCATATTATGGCACTCTTTCGAGGGCGCTGCCTGGATCGTTGTCGGAAAACAACTGTTGATGGACAATTTGAAGAGAATTTCCTATAATATCCCAAGTTTGCCAAAAATACCATGCTCGTGTGATGAAATTCAATGTCGATGAAATTTGTGCTGAACTGGCGGTAATGAAAGTTTTTTAATTTAAGTGGGTTTTTTTAAATACTCCTTGTGCAATTTTCAATAATTATCATTCTTTTGAAGAAAATTTTCAATGAAACCAAGGTCAGGGATCAGCATACACCGGCATAAACTAACGTTTAAAATATTTGATTTCAATTTCCTATATAATTATCATTCTTTATCTGCTAGAAAGATTTTAAACATCAATGGGAAAATAAATTGCGGGAAATATGCACCCATGATACGATAACTGTTGATTACATATAATTGATACAAAAAAGTATATAATACAGCCCACTAAAATGAAAAAAAATTATCGTTAGGCCAAATAAAACAAAATACTTGGTTAGCGTCACACTCTCACAAATTTTCAGAGGCGGGCGGGCGGATTTTTTTTTTAATTTTTACTCATTTTTTAATTTTTTAATAGTATTTTTGGAGGGGATGGGGGGCGGTTTTTCCACCATATCGGTGATATTTTTTGTACTGAAGTTGCGAAGGCCGCCATTTTGCTTTAAGAACCTTGTATACCCAAGCCTACGTGCTCCTATCGATCAGTATATAGCGCGAAGATCTGAGCATGAGAAAAATTTCAAATATTAAACTGTTTTAAGCTGTAAAATGAAGAGATTTCCTTTAAAAAAAATTAAAAAAAATTCAGAGGCGGCAGAAAATCGAGAGGCGGACGGTGACGCTAACCAAGTATTTTCTTTTATTTGGCCTTACTTTGACAATTTACCTAGAAGCATCATACATGCTTGGAACATTGTATATATATATGATTTAATGAGGAGCAGGAGTGCTTTATCAGATATAAAACACAAGGCGACAGGCACAGTTATATTAGCGAAGTAATTTTACTAAATAAACGTTATCTAAGTCGAGAAAATCAAAGGCAAAGCTAAATTAGTTTACATGATTTTTTATCACAAATAACTGGCCACGGACAGTGGTAGTGATTTCTTTTGTATTTTCCTCATAATTTATATATTAATGAGTTTTTGAAACTTATTTAAAAACACTTCTGTGATCGCAAAAGTATATACATCATCAAATTTTAACAAAATCCTTTGAACGTAAATCAGTTTGTCCTTGAATGTTTAGACTACTAAAAAGTAAAATTCCAAACATATTTCAATTTTCAATATATATTAATATTGCCTTTTATTCGTACATAGTCTGTTTTGAAATCTTAACAAAGCCCTCTATATTCCCTATAACTGTTGGTTTCACTCGCTGAAAGCGTGTAGGAGTGAAATATGGCTAGAAACTGCCTTCGATAGTGTTTTCAAGGCGGAATCCCTTGTTGTTAGGAGTCGGTAAACGCCTTTATTAAGGATTAAGGATATAGGACTTCCACAAGTAAAATTTTGATCTAGACGAAAATTTCATCACAGCTTGAAAGAGCATCACAAAATAGTAATATTCCGAAGTTTCGTTGCGAAATGTTGTAAAATGCGAATAATATAGCCTTGCGAAATTTGCAATTTTCAGTAATTTTGTATTACAAACGGGAAATTAATACCCCAACACCCGATTGGGGTATCAATTTGCCATTTGTAATACAAAATGACTGAAAACGGCAAACTTCGCAGGGCTATATTATCCGCATTTTACAACATTTCGTAACGAAACTTTGGAATATTACTAATTTTGTGATGTTCTTTCAAGCTGTGATCAAATTTTTGTCTAGATCAAAATTTTAATTATAAGGTTAAAGGTCCATTAAAACAGACCACAATTCCTTGCGGGTTACGATTTCAATATCCTTTAACCAGCAGACAATTTCGCAAAACAAAGATGAAAAACATTCTGACACACATTCATGACTCACGATTCGAGCTATTAAACACAAGATAACAAAATTCAAGGTAGTTTTAGGTTTGACAATGTCAATGACTTTGAAATAAAGCATAAATTTTACCTTGAATTTTGTTTCATTTTAGTACGATTTCAATATGGCGTCCTAGTGTTAAGAGGGTCCTGAAGGGGTAAAATGGGAACTGGATTAATTTGCTCATTTCTGGACTGTGAATATTGGATTTGGGTCACTGGGACTGATAATGACAGACACAGAAGTGGCAACGTGAATATACAATGGAATATACCCGTGATACCATTGTAACGACAGTTGAATGTGGTTGGTCCAAAATACCTGGGAAATAGGATTTAGAGAAAAAACGGGCCGGGAAATGGCTCGGGAAATGAGATCTAGATCTCGCTTCAGGACACTCTATTAATGAAAAATTTAATACCCCCTGTACGAATTGGAAATGTTGTTTTCTTGTTGTTATCCGTTCAAGAATGCGGAACAAGGCGCAGTTGTTAGCCGTTTCAGCCAGAAAAAATGACGAGCTATAAATTTGGTTCGAATTATTCAAATTATTTGAAATCAGCAGTTCCTGCACGGCGCTGATTTTGATGTTTATAAGTTTATTGCACATATCGCGCAGAGACGGATGTTTAAAATTTCATGTTGACAAATGGTTTCCTTGATATGTAATATATCATGTCTTCCTATTTAATTTAACTTCGTGGTGTGGTGTTTACTTTTAGCCCATTCGTCCCAGACTTGAAAATCAACATGATGCGAAAAATAGCCGTTCATTGGTTGTCCCAGTGAACTCAATATAAATTACTGGAGTGACTCGTTACGTAACAGTCCTGGGCCTCAGCAGGCTGAAATGGTTTAAACTGAGGAAATTGTTACTGTTTACAGATCATGATCTATAGTATTCATCATAATAATCAATCTTGCACTAGAAATATTTGAGCGAGTTTCTGTTAGTTTCAAAATGAAGAAATGGTCTAGCTAGTATGTATAGAGAATAATACATGGGAGCGCGGAAATACCAGATTTATTTCGAGTGTTGAACATGATATCTCACGAGTGAGCGCAGCGAACGAGTGAGATATCATGTTCAACACGAGAAATAAATCTGGTCTTTCCAAGCACCCATGTATTTTTCTGTTTATTATATAAAGGACAATCTTTGAAAAGCGATAATTTTTACAGAAAAGCGATAATTGAAAAGCGATAATTTTCACATGTGAGATTATCATGAATAATCTCACATGCATGTGAGATTATCACTTTTACCAGTGCTGGAAATCTATATAACGCACTATACTTTATATAATAAAACAAAATATAAAACAAGTGCGGAAACTCCAAAGATCGATAACATTTTCATATTTATCTACGTTTCGACTATATTATTTCAGGTCTTTCAGTCATCATCAGGATAAAATTTTTAGTATGTATTATTTCAGAACCATTCTTCTATATATACTAAAACTGTCTGTACCAGTGGGCAGTGTGGGTAGTACCAATGTGAAAATTCTGTGCTGAGTGGTTATATTACGAAACGTCGGCGAGTTTCTGCTTATTTTTTAAGGTAGTAATATATAACCACTCAGCACAGCATTCTTCTATATAGAATCTGCATTGTCATTGGCTTAAGATAAGAAAATACAATTGATGTCATACTTGCAGTAAGAAATTGAACGTACAAATCGAGGACTCACGATGAACAGGACAAGATTTGAAAACCCCCTAAATAAGTTAATCCACTTCGTGAATTGAGCTCGCTACATCCAATTATAAGCCGGGAATATTAATCCTAACAATGACGTCAACTGACGTCAGAACACAGCGGCTGAACAAAAAATATGAGAGATTTGCATTGCTGTATTTGCCCTACAATATTATAAAATTTCCTAAGCAAATACTGGTGTCTAAATACCTTTTGAAAATGTCAAAAACTAGACAATGCGGATTAAGTATTCGTAGCTTTTGATTGGTTCCTGGATTGTCCAATGGAATGAGTGACTTCGAATAATGGTGAAAAAATTTGCCTCGTCTATGCCCAAGCATTTTATATAACTAGATTTTTATTACGAAAAATTTCTCGTGCGGTTAGTTCTCGATATATTTAGCTGATTTAGCCTGTAGGCGACGTTTAACACTGGCATTTAACTATATAGACAGAATGACTAGTGGTCTATTGTATTTCAGCTTTAAAATTGAAGTTATTACGGCTATTATGTAGATGGCTTAACCAAAAATGATTATAATCGTTTCTAACAAATTACATCCACGTTTCACTTTCCTGCATGTCATATCTTATCATGCTTAATTTCTCTTATTACATTTAAACGCCATAAATATGCCCCCAAGCAAAACTAAAATAGATTTTAAAAAGGGAACTACAAGATATAAAGGACTTTAGTTTAAATAAAGTCACGAGTCAGTGCTATGGGCTAGACTGCTTAAAATATTGCCTTTTATCAATTATCACTAATTCCGTTCTTTCAATTCCGTGATTTGTAAATCTGCTGATCATTCATATTTTCTAGGTCTAGCAATATTGTTCTATTCCGAAAATCTATCCGTAATTTTTAGTGCCGGATATACTGCTATTGTAATAATACTTAGAATCTTAGATAGCACTAGTTTTTTTTATTTAAAATTTTCGCCGAGAACGTGACTTTTAATTCTACCTTATTGATATGCCTGCCAACAATTTTATGGTCGCCGTGACCTCGAATTTGCCGCCATGATTTCTGGCCTATATATATTTCAAATAAACTTTGAAAATAACATAGACATGAAGATATTTAGCATATAGATAATAATATCTTTCAAAATGAAAGATATTTATATAGCAACAGGGTGCTGAAAGTTTTTGGCAATAGCGCAATTCAGATACCCCCTCCTGAATGTTTAAAAGGTTTAAGCATTTGCAATAATTTGGATCCACTGAAGTATAACAATAATTAATTAAAAGCGAGAGCTGACTGCTGCCTCGTTTGCAGTTGATATCTGAGATTCTGTTGAATATATCGAGGAAAACTTTAATCTACCAATTTGATAATCCCAACACAAAAACGAAAGAAAAGGATTTTTTAAAGAACAAGGCAGTTCAATAACAATATAGTGCTCATGTATATGGGGTATACTTCAAATCTTCAATAATTAATGTGTGGAAATTCGCATTTTTATGCGGAGAAGTTTATAGTCTGATAAGTCATTCTTACCTTGAAATCAAAATTCTTTACCAGACGATTCGCAATTCGATTAGTCTCTTCGACTCCTCAGCTTAACTTTCGGCTTCTTCGGTATATCGAAACTTTCTGAGCGGGATATATCGGACTGTCTATATATATGCCAATGTACAACCACGTGTAGTTAGAAGATGAGACTTGATCCACACTTTCCGTTTGAAAAGGTGCAAGGTCAGACACGGATCAAACAACGGCCATATGTCATAAATTCCTCACATTGCCTGCAAGAAGAAATATTTACCGTTTTAATCAATGTTCGGGAAAGGAAATTAAAAATCTCTACACGACTTGAATTAATGACTTGTATATATCAACTTATTCAACTAGTCGAGTCGAGGTTCTTCAATGAACAAGTGTAGCGAAGTTTAAACAGGTACTAGATATGAAGAGTGAAATACCGGATTCTCAATTCATGGCGGATCAATTAGCGATAATAATTTCTAAACTCAAGAGAGTGTCCGTGTAACGTGGTTAGAATGTCATGTGGATAAAGTTTCGGTACATACGAAGAACGAAACGAAAAGCATTTAATATGCGTGCGCCGTGCGGCATGCAAGTCCAACTAAAATCATCACAACTTGACAAGTCAGGAAACGGAGCCTGATTATACGAGTCTAAATCATACTCGGAAAACTGATCGAAAAATTACGAAAAAGACATACAAATGTAGTTGCTGAGGCCGTTCAAATCAGCGTAACATGTCGGTCGAACAATATTGTTAGTGGGTCCGTTTCAACACTAGTATAAGACCTGTTTACACTTGAATTTTTTCTGCGATTTCTGGTGCCTTTTCCTTCTTCTGATGCATGTAAACGAGTATGCGAGTTATAAATGTTCGGAGTATGTGTACCCTCATCTGAACATTTATAACTCATCCACTCGTTCACATCCATCAGAAGACGAAAATCTCACCTATATAGTGCAAGTGTAATGTTGGGTAATACTGGTTTAGGTTTGACTTCAATCAACCAACAATTTTATTCGGGTTTTTTTGAAAAGTTGGAGAACACAAAATTATAGTGAAAACAATTCTTTCAGTAGCGCAGACGCAAATTTAGTGCATATTAATAAAACCACGACGTTACCAACGACACACGACTTGTTATGTACACACGACAAATGCTGACACTCATTAAATTTAGTAAGATTCCTACTAAATTTAATGAGTATCCGCATTTGCTGGATCAACAGATAATCTTTAACAATTAACGTTTTTAATACAAATATACATTTCCTTACGTTAAATTTCCTGATTTCGCCTTCACAGATACTTCAGTTACCTGGAAAAATGACAAAATATTTCAACATTTTTTGCACATTATTTCAATAGGTTGAACGATCCAGGTGTTTTATCAAGTATACCTTTACCAGACGGTTTCCTGTTCTCACAGAGAAGTGTATTGAAACTCCGACATTCTTGAAATAACGCACTAAGCTGGAGCAAGAATGGGTCGAAATATTCGAAGCTATTTAGGGAACGAAATGCGTCATTGTAGACTGATTTGCACAACAATGTGATTGCATCAGCAAAAACGCTCCGTGGCATATAGAAGTAATTGTTATAACCGGATTTAACGGAAACTATAAATTTCTTTGAAAATGGTGAAATACGTGATCCCCGATCAAACGTCGCTCTTTTCATGTGTCAAACCAAAATTTGATTCGATACCAGAGCGACGTCAGGAGCGGTGTCAAATCAAGTTATCAAACGTCGAACTCAATATGACGCTGCCAATGTATAAATCATGGTTTAACAAACATTTACAAAATACATAAATGAAACGAAATTCATAAAGTAACCCGCTTACCAAAACTGCCAGCTATACATGTACTACAATGACATAAAAAATAAATTAAAATAATTTATGGATTAGGTTCGGCGCAAGTTCAAAATTGCCATGCTTGCTTTTAGATGTATCCATCAGTATGCACCGCTCTATCTTGTCAATCTTTTGAAAGTAAGAAAGACATTGTGCTATAGTCTAAGATCTAACGAAGACACATTGCTTGAAGACTACAGTACAAAAACAAAGAAAACACTCGGCGACAGAGCATTTGTAACCTCCGCTCCAAATATCTGGAATAAATTACCTATGTATATTATAAATCTGCATAACTTTAGTATTTTTAAGAAATTAGTTGAGACTTAATATTATTTTGAAGAAGCCTTTAATGTAAATACTTCATGTAACATATATAATCTTCTTTATATTTTTAGTTAGTCATTCAGCATAGAATAATTTTAGTGTAATTATATGCGCATTTGATCATATACTATAACATGTTAATTTGCGCAATATAAATATTAAATATTATTATTATTATTTTGTATAACTTACGAAGTACATGTACCCCAGGTGATCACGGAAAAGGCCTGGCACTAGTTATAAAATAGAAATCCATTTCTTGTTTAAAATTACTCAATATCTCATCAACGGTATTAGATTTCTATTTCAAATTTGTCCCAGACATTCATTTCCCTGTGCAAGACACAGAAACAAAGTTTCAAACAGTTTCATAAACGGTCTAAGTCAATAGTTCAACCAAGTACTTCAGCACGAAACATCGGTGTAACCTTCGATCAACACATGTCCATGGATAAACATATTACCAACACTTGCAAGAACTGTTTTTTCCATTTGAGAAAAATAGCAAGAATAAAAGAGTACTTATCAAAATCAGATATCCAAACCCTAGTTCATGCCTTTATTACATCGAAATAGATAATTGCAACTCTTTGCTATACGGACTACCTAAATTTCTTATAGATCGATTACAGAATGTGCAAAACTGTGCTGCTCGTCTGGTGACAGGAAGCAGAAAATACGACCATGTTACTCCATTAATGAAACAATTACATTGGCTCCCCATCAGTCAACGCATCATCTATAAAATTTTTTTCTGTGTTGGTGTAGTGTACTCAGGTGAATATGATATTTGTGGTGTTACTCAGAGTAACACCACAAATATCTATAAAATTGTTCTTGTCACGTATAAATCTCTGAATGGCTCAGCTCCACATTACATTAATAATATGCTAAAACCTTACACACCATCAGCAAATTTACGCTCCTCATCCAAAGGATTGCTTACCATACCTTCAGTAAAACTAGTGAACTATGGTGAACGATCGTTCTCATATGCTGCACCGAAACTGTGGAACGAACTGCCAGAGTATACTAGAAAGAGTGAGACCTTGCCTATTTTTAAAACCAGATTAAAGACACATCTTTTTAAACAGTATTATGACTAAGTTATTATTTTAACAAGATTATTAGCAATTTTATAGTATTCTATATAGTTGTTGTTTTAATATTATCAACATACATAACATAAAGTAATTTTATATTCTTAACGAGAAGAGCATATAATTATTTTTTAGTAATTTTATAGCATAGTAATTTTAGTAGTCAATGCATGCACTATGTTCTAACACTTAGTATATATTTTTAACACTTGATGTTAAGCGCTATTGAGCTATGGGAAATGGCGCTATATAAATGAATTATAATAATAATAATAATAATAATAAAAGAATCAGGGCGTGACAAGTGATTAAAGGCACGAAACTGGATTTCTATTCTGTTGCTTGTCCCAGTCCTTTTGCTCACCGTCAGATCACCTGGCTTGCCAAGCTTTGGTAAGCGGGCCACTTTATAAATTTCGTTTCATGCTCGCTTTGATGGGACGATCAAATTACAGGATAAGACCAAGTTCCAAGTTATTACTAAACAAATTTCGCTAGTCCTCCCGCGGTTCAAAACCGATTCAGCCACGCAAGAAAGCCTGGGACTACAATCTTGGACATTTCTGGTTGAGACTATTTTCCCTCTATAGAAAATTCGCATATTTTTATGATAAACTCCATGTTGAATCATGTTGCGTTTCTTAAATCCCCGCTCCCCCGACTCAATGTTGAGCTTGTGTCATGGTATATTACCAAAAAGTTGTTTCGGCGTTGTTCACAACATTGAACTGGGGGACAAAGTTTGTTTTGTCAATGTTCAATAACTTTGTAATATTAGCTGAAATGGTCTCAAGGGTTTTGGTTTTGTCCAAAATTGTAGGCCAATCTCGTACCCAGGGCCTTTGCACAGTTCAGCGGCTTTACTGGAGCCTCTGAACCGCGCAAAGGCCCTGGGTACAAGGGACTGGTTGTGTATAGGATTGTAAAATTATTGCATTTAAGCATTGAAATGACCCAAGGCAGTTGCTCAGGTAAAAAAAATTTACCATGGTTTTTGACGTCACGCATATCTGATCATGACATCCAAAATGGCGGAATGCGTAATCAATACACCCTTTCGATAATTACGTCATTTAGCCTGGGAGCCTCGCTCTCATGAATTGTGAGCCAATCGCCTCGCATAATTTACTATTTATTTGAAATGAACGGTAATTTACTTATACCAAGAACGATAAAACAAGTCTGTATAAGGTTTTGAAATATACTGAATCTCTATTCCAAATTTTATTGTCTAATTTTATTGCTATTTCCCTTTAAGTTAATTAAATACACAGAAGCCACCAGAGTGTTTACTGGAGCGCAGTGCGCAACCAGAGTGTGCAATTACCAGATCTGGAGTGCGCAACAAGTTTTAATTAAATATCAGGCAGAAGCCCAGGAGAAGTCTCCGTATTTACTTGCAGACATCGTTTGACTTTCTTTTTACTGGCGTTAAAAGGTGACGGCACTTTGGTGCAACGTAGACTGACGTTTCCACAGCGACAGTTGTGGTCATCGGAACATTTTCGCATGTACTTGTTACATTTGGAACTTTGTGTTTGGCTGCCAAACTAGAAAACAATGGTTGAATGAAACAGTAAACTACGATAAAAATTTCAAATGCTTGGAATAGTGGTTAGTTTACATTTTTTGCTTCACTTTATAACTATATCAGTAGAATAAATTAAAAATTTTGATAGGCCAAACACGTTAATAACAATTTGCTCTAAATATCGTTCTTGTCACGTTGCCGTTGTTTTTAATATTTTTTGTTGTAAAGTTCTATACCTGTTATTGTACGATATATTTAAATGCTGTAGGGGTTATATACCATATCAATCCTGCTATTTGTGCCATCAATAGTTTATAGAGATTATATGTTTATGGACAAAAATTATTACACAAAACTCTGAATTCTTTGTTGCAACTATTTACCACCCACCTAACTATGAGTATAATGAGCAAGACCTTATCGAATTCCTTATTGACTCGTGCGAACAACTATTGTTATCTAAACCGAATTCAAATATAACAATTGCTGGTGACATTAACAATTTAAACATTCGATCTGTTCTTAATCAACTTCCATTTACCCAACTCGTTAAGACCCCTACGAGAGGGTTAAAAATATTAGATGTCTTTATTACAAATGTCCCAAACTATTGGAAATCTGTTAAAGTTGTAAAAAGCTTGGTGAGATCCGACCATGATATGGTTATCACATACCCCCGAAACATAGTTAAAGCAACAAGGACAAATTCCTATTTCAGAGATGTGAGACAACATCATCAATTGAATATGCTTCGTGAATTTGAATCTATTGATTGGAACACGATAATTATGAATAGCCATAACCTAGATGAGATAACCCTAAAATTTTATGAAATAATATGGCCAAAATTCGATAAGAGCTTCCCACTAATTAAGGTCAGAACGTCATCACGCGACCCTCCGTTCATGTCTCCTCTTGTGAACCACCTTCTGAATCAAAGGAAAAGAGCCATACAAAACGGAAATACTGAAGCAAATACACGATTGCAAGAAAAAAATCAACAAGTTAATTCGGGAAAATCAATTAAGTGCAGTCAAACAGGAGTTTGGCAACCAGAAAACTGGATCGAAAAGTTGGTGGTCTAACGTAAATAGCATTACATCGAGAAAAAAGAAACATGATGTATCTGTAAGTGCTTCTCTTAACCCTAGTGAAATTAACAAATATTTTCAAAGTGTGAATACAGACCCAAATTATACGACTCCCGAGCCTCTTCAAATCTCCGAAGGAACAAGAATTCCCTCGTTGTCAATTCATGAAGTTCAACATCTTTTACGCAATCAAAAACGCTCTTCATCGGGTCCGGACAATCTGCCATATTGGTTTTGGAAATCGTTTGCTATTGAATTAGCTCCTATTGTCACAGAAATTTTTAACATGTCACTAAAAACCAGCAAAGTACCTCAGAAATGGAAATCCGCTAATTTATTACCACTCCCTAAAGAATCACCATTAAATTCGTGCAACCAGTTAAGACCAATCTCTCTGACGGACATCATCATGAGACTATTCGAGAAGTGCGTGTATAAATCTGAAATCGAACCTATCACAAGAAATAACATTGGTCCTGACCAATTTGCTTATAAAAAGGGTCACAACTCGACTATGGCTCTGATTAAATCCCAACATCAATGGCTAGAGTGGCTGGATAAAAACGCTAATTATGTTAGAGTGCTGTCGTTCGATTTCAGCAAAGCATTTGACAGTGTGCCCCACGATCTTTTGTTTGAAAAAGTTAAAAAGCTACCCATTAATCCGTATGTGGTGAACTGGTTAATTAGCTTTCTAGAAAATAGAATACAAAGAGTAATGGTTGATGGAATGGTTACAGAATATTTATATATTAATCGTGGTGTCCCTCAAGGTACTGTTTTAGGCCCAGTTCTTTTCTCAATAATGGTTGATGATATTAAAACTGCTGATCCTAGTAATGCGTTAGTCAAATTTGATGACGATTTGACGTTAGGAGTGCCCGGCAACGAAAGTGGTGACACATCTCGATCTGAAGCTGCCTGTTTACAGGATTGGGCGGAAGAGAATAGAATGCCCTTAAACTTGGAAAAAACGTACGAAATGGTTGTTCGCAGACACACCTCTGTAGTTTTGCCCGAGCTTATCCCTTCAATTAAGCGAAAAACATGGCTAAAGCTTTTAGGAGTTACTCTACAAGATAACCCGTGCAACTGGGATTTGCACTTTGAAGAAATGCTCAAAAAAGCAAGTGGACGAATGTACATTATGAGAGTTTGCAAATACTATGGACTATCAATTAAACAATTAGATCTGCTGTTTGATAGCCTAATTATGTCGATATTCACTTTTGCTATTGAGCTGTGGGGTTGTGCATACGACGGTAAATATTTGAACCAAATAGATAAATTCATTAAACGTGCACATAAGAATGGTTATATATCAAAACGAACACACATTAAAGAAATACGTGATAAGAGAGATAAGAAACTGTGGAACAAAATAACATCGACTGAGGACAATGCATTGCTTGAACTGCTGCCGGAAAAAAGAAGTAGGTTACTTAGGCCTAGAGGGCATGAGTATGAACTCCCCCTAGTGAGAACAGAAAGATTCAAAAGGTCGTTCATAAATCGTTGTCTGTATAACTTTGTTTAGACTTTAATCTATTAAAAACTTTTTAAAACTTTTTACGCTTCTTAACTTACAATTGTAAATATAACTAGATCAATTACCTTTCGATTGTAAACTCAGACGGATGTATCTGAGTATTTTAATAAAGACTATTATTATTATTATTATTATTATAGAGTTACTACACGACTAACACATGCACAGATAATATAAGAGGACACTTGCAATCTCGTTCCCCGAGCCTGCGATCCTTGGGAAGGAACGCGAGGCTCTGAGATAATCCGTTTCAGGGAGGAATCTGATTGGCCGTTGAAATGGCATGCGTAGTTCAATCTTAGCCACAATTCCTGGCTTCCGGCAACGGATTATCCCAGAGCCTCGCGTTCATTCCCGAGGATCGCAGGCTCGGAGAACGAGATTGAGGACACCTGCCTCGTCCCCAGGCGCTAATAAAAAAATTCATGCGAGTCGCTATATGAAAGGTTCACACGAAGTAGTGCATCGCGACGAACAAGCGCAGGGGTTTATGGGCTTGAGGCTGCAAAAATTGAGGAGCTCCGAGACTCTGTAATTGTAGTCTGTGACTGCTGATTAGTACCTCCGGCTAGCGAATTGAGCATTATTTCAAGCTACATGTATGATGCATAGATTATACTATGTCAATGGCCTAATTACGTACAAGACAAACATTTGCTAATAATTACGCATTCAATTTTTATCCAAATTTAACCAAAATTTAACCAATTTGTCCTTGGGCAATGTCCGTTAGTAGCTATTAGTTATTAGTGCCACAAACTTTCGTATTACTGTGATTAATATTTTTTTAAAGTTATCTTGTGCCTTGCATGGGTCTCGTTTTCCCGTTTGCACTAACCCCATTGGACGTTCACGTTGTAATCTAGAATTTATATGTCCAATAAAGCTTATAAAATAAAATAAAATAAAATAAAAACAAAATAGACACACACACACACACACAATCTAGTGCATGGCGAAGAGCCAAAGGTAACAAGAGTTAGGTGACAAGTTGGAAAACGAATGTAAAGAGGAAAATACACGTTACTCACCGGATGAGCAATTGTGCAGGTCAGAAAGCAATACAACAATACCAGAAGACAGTAAAATCTCAACATCGATAGCGCCATTTTGTAGCCAGCCTATCTTGTACAACTCTCGCATGCAATCGGCCCAAAATTAATTTGCAGTTATTGGCATAGCCCGCATCGACTTTTATACAAATTAATTATATAACGGTGCTTATGATCCTAATCACTCGTGACAGTATGTTTGTACAACTTATTTTATTGTAATCAGTTGGAAGTTGGAATGGAGACGTTTTAATAATTTGCTACTAAACGATACGAAAGTGAGCCCAGACTATGCTAATATTAGTGCCCGACAAATTAGCCGAAGATGAGTTTCTCTTCGGCTGATGTTTTCATTAAAACACGATAAAAAAAGGATCAAAGGAGTTGACCAGAACTTCCGAAAAAGAAAAACAAATTCGGCAGATACAATGCCTTACATTGCGCGCGTGATTTGGACGAAAAAATTAAGAAACACATTTAAAATTAATAATTAAAGAAAGCAACTTTTCATCCACTTGCAAGCAACCAGGGGCCGGTTGTTCAAAGCCCGATTAGCGCTACCCCTGGGCTAAATTTTAACCTGCTGTTTTTCCTATGCACTTCTGCATGATCATTCGTTTCAAAACTTTAGAAAAGAAAACCTCTATTAGAAAACCTCTATTATTCTCTAGAGTTGCCCTAACTTGCGAACGGGCATGCCCTGGGTACGAGACTGCATCACAGAAGAAAGACATACAGAAGTGTAGCTTCTTAATAAAAGTGCGTAGGGGATTTTTTCAGTCCGCCATGTTCTTAGCAAGTGCCCTAAAGAGAGGCAGTCACCCCCCTGAAAACATATTGAAAATTTAATATTCCAGGGGGGTGAATGCTTCTCTTTAGGGCACTTGCTAGGGGCATGGCCGCCAGCTATTTCGGTAAAAAAGCGCCTTACGGTTTTGTAATGGAAGTTACACTTCTGTATGTCTTTATTCTGTGACTGCATTTAGCATATATGACGACATCCAAGATGGCGGAATGCACAATCATTTGTCTGAAATGAACAGCAATATATTTTATATCAAGGACGATAAAAAAGTCCGTATAAGATTTTGAAATATACTCAATCTCTATTCCAGATTTTATTGTCTAATTTTATTGCTATTTCCCTTTAATTAAATACACAGAAGCAACCGCAGTGTTCAACTGGATTTAGTGATGTGCAACCACATACAGAGTGTGCAATTATCAGAGTTTGCAACGAGTTTTAATTAATTTAGGCCAAACAGGCATCTTGGCTGTGCTTTTCACAGGCGGACGCCGCCCAGGAAAAATGTCCGTATTTACTTGAAGACATCTTTTGACTTTCTTTTCACTGGCGTTAAAAACTGACGGTACTTTGGTGCAATGTAGACCGATGTTTCTACAGCGACAGTTGTGGTCATCGGAACATATTTGCATGTACTTGTTACATTTGCAACTTTGTGTTTGGCTGCCAAACTAGAAAAAAATGGTTGAATGAAACAGTAAACTACGATAAAAATTTCAAATGCTTGTCATAATACTGAGTTAGTTTATATTCGACATTGGTAGGCCAAACACCAACCTCGTATACTCCGTTTGTCTCCAGGTTGTGCTCACAAGAAGAAAGTTATTTTCCCCTGCTCTGGCGGAGGTAACAAGAGTCGAGTGACCAGTTGGAAAACGAATGTATAAAAGAGGAAAATACATGTTACTCACCGGATGAGCAATTGTGGTCAGAAAGCAAAACAACAATACCAGAAGACAGTAAAATCTCAACATTGATAGCGCCATTTTGTAGCCTGCCTATCTTGTACAACTCGCATGCAACCGGCCCAAAATTAATTTGCAGTTATTACATAGCTCGCGCCGACTTTTTACTACGATAATTCGACGAACACAAATTAATTATAACAGTGCTTATAATTCGTTAAAAGAAAAAAAAAAGAAAAAATTTTTGTCTAAAACGTTAGACAAAACTTATTTAATTTTGTAATAATCTACAAGAACAAATAAAACAAACAAACAAGTGCTTATAATTCCAATCAATCGTGTATTTGTACGACTTATTTTATTGTAACATTGGATTAAGTGCCCGACAAATATATTATGGGCTAAGACGAGTTTCAATTTTCTCTTCGCAGATGTTTTCATTAAAACACGATGAAAAAGGATCAAAGGAGTTGGTCAGAACTTCCGAAAAAGAAAAATACCCAAATTCGGCAGATACATTAATCACTTACATTGCGCGCGTGATTTGGACGAAAAATTAAGAAACATATTTCAAGAAAGCGACCTTTTCACCCACTTGCAAGCGACCAGATGCACTCAACGTACTTTTAATATTCTTACAATATTACATAAAATTGTATGGCCATAAAGGCATAAATCTCAAAGAACACCAACTATTCTTAGACTGCCAATAATAAGACTTATAAAATAGATATTAATTTGTATTTGCGCACAAAATTTGTACCCTCTTTGCAGCTAATGACACCAGGGTTTTCAGTTTTGTGTGAGGCTCTGGCTAATGGCGATGAAGCTATGGGCCTATGGCGATAGATATTATTTCTACCGATAGAATTTACAAATTTGGGCGAGTACACATAATACAGACGTGACTAAACGTAAAAGCTCTGGCGAATTTGGGTGGGGTTGAATGAAAAAGTCTGGCGAAATTCGCCGTTCGCTGGACTAAACTGAAAACCCTGTGTCACTCCGATAAAACGACAAGGCCTCATCAATATGAAATTACAACCAAACAGTTGGTTGTTACTAGTCTATATACAGATGTACAGTATGCAGTACATGTTACATGTTACGACCACATTGTGTTCACAGATATCACATAGTGTACACAGGTATCACATACTGTTCAAAGATATCACATAGTGTTCACAGATATCACAAGGTGTTCACAGATATCACACAGTGTTCACAGATATCACACAGTGTTCACAGATATCACATTGTCTTCACAGATATCATAGTGTTCACAGATATCACATCATGTTCACAGATATCACAAGTTATATATCAACAACTTGTCGAGAACACGTTGTTAGGTAGTACGTCTTGGCAAGCCAAAATGTGACTTTCTTGCCTGACCCAACAAATTGCAGTGTTTGCTAAATATAGCCCAGAATCTAGCTTTTTACTGCATACTCCGATAGCAAAATGTATTTACAAAATATTATGTATGATTGATTATGACATAGCAGCATTTGAAGCTGTCAGTGAAGAGGATACTTGATTGTAGACAAGTTCTTGATTTCCACCTTCCAACTTGGATAATTCCTCCACTTTTCTCTGAGCGACAAATTCTTGTTCTTTTCTTTCTTTCTCCTCTTCTTCTCTTTCCTAGAGAGGAAAAAATGACATTGTGTCAAAATAATTTTGTCCCAATACCTGTGTCACAACCTTTTTACTTTGGATTTTGATTAAAACTAGGTCTTTAATTTAACCCCTTCGAATGCCAGTACTCTCCCCAGATGAGTAAAATCTTCTGGCATAAGACAGAGTAAGATAATAGGCTGAGGCACATTTTGATGTATTGCCACTACACACATTGACAGACAGATTTACTGCTATACATACTGGTAGATGAATAAAATTGTCTGGCGTTAGACAGAATAAGACAGTAAAGGGAGAGACACTGCCACTAATTAATGGGATTAACTAATTCAAATCTGACGCTTGTGATGTTACCACCGCGGTCAGGCATATTTTTCAAGCTTGCCCGGTGTGGATATACACTCAGAGTAACATCACAAGCGTCATATTAACCTGAGTACATTACACCAACACAGAAAAATCATGATAATTCAAATCTATTGCATTTCTAAGACCATATTCACATGAGACTGGGACTATAAAGTTAGGATGAAACAATAGCATTTTAGTCACAGTGTTGTTTTCAGTCAATGTGTAATACATCAAGTTGAAACTGGCTCAGACCTATCTGAATTCATCTGAAACAGGACTTGAGCAGGATGAAAGCCAGTACAATATATACTTTAGATTGGCCTGAATTTTAGAATTTTAAAGATCAATATTGCACTTTTGAAAATATGCCAAAGAATGGTAAATTAACACAAAATCTTAAAGCTCGACACTTACAAGTTCTTTCATTTTGTAATATTCATCAATGACATATTGATATTTTGGTGTCGTAATTCCAAAGAATGACGCTAATTTCTCACCAAGAAATTCTGCAGCTAAAGATCAAGAACTTAAATGTAAGACTGCAGATACACATGAAGTTTATCACTTAGTTTATAAGCAAGCTTAAAGTTTATAGAGGTTTATAGTTACCCTTTAATGCTCCACTTGAAACAGCCCTGACATAATACCACATCCATAACATCCATGTCAGGTCAGACTGAAAATGAATAAATGTAGGACATGTAGAATAATGTCATGTTGGATGATATTAAAATCAGATTCAGAAATGAGGAAAATACTTTATCAAATTTACCTGACATATTGGCAATGATTTATTACCACCTAATGGACCATTTGCATTATAGACTAAATTTTGATCAAAACAAGTCTAGACAAAAATTTCACACTTCTTGAAAGAGCATCACAAAATTAGTAATATTCCAAAGTTTGGTTGCAAAATGTTGTAAAATGCGGATAATATAGCCTTGCAAAGTTTGCCGTTTTCAGTCATTTTTTATTACAAACGGGAAATTGACAGCCACAAAGGTTATTGGGCTGTCAATTTCCCCCGCATAAATGAAAAATGACTGAAAAACGGCAAACTTCGCAAGGCTATATAATCCGCATTTTACTACATTTCGCAACCAAACTTTGGAATATTACTAATTTTGTGATGCTCTTTCAAGCTGTGATGAAATTTTTGTGAACACTCACACCTGTATTCTAAAAGCTCACTCACACTCACACTCAATGAGTGGAGGTTCAATCTGAGCTTCCCTTGAGTGTCAATACTGTTTTTGAATAGCTGGAGGGTTAGCTCACAGTCCAGCTATTCAAAAACAGCATTGACACTCAAGGGAAGCTCAGATTGAACCTCTACTCATTGAGTGTGAGTGAGCTTTTAGAATACAGGCATCAGGGGGTGTTCTCCAACAAGTTGCCATGCAAAACATCAAATTGATGTTTTTATCTAAACCCACCCACATCCACCCACCCAAATGTTCCCATTATGGGAACACTGTGGTCAAATGTGAAGTGCATGTGCGAGAATGCAGAAATGGTGGGAAAAGAGCCAAAATAATAGGAGTAAATATTGGAAAAGCATTTACTATAAGGAAATGGCTGAAGCTTAGTTAGGTAGGGAGTTTAACTGCTTTTTCCTTGTGTCAAGACAAAGTTATACTGAGTTTAAACCCTTGTAATTTTCATTAAACTTTTTGCTAGAGCTTTATGAAGACAAATTAGACAATACTATTTCCAGTCTTTCGAATACAAACGAAATGCGGAATTTTGACAACAGTGTTCCCAAATGGGTGGTCAAATCTGACATCAACGTCGTTCCTAGGTAAATATTTTTTAAACTATTCATTTTGCCACAGTAAAAACATTATGGCACGATATATTAGATTATATCTTTCCCCACCCCCCCCCCCCCCGTCACTCCCCAGCTAAAGAATTTCCCATCGGTGGTAAAGAACATTTCTAGTATAAAATGTTTCAAATATTGGATTAATATTCACATTAAAAACTGTATTTGTTTCCCAGCTGATGGTCTCTAAGACTAGTTCCTTACGACCCCCTGCCACTAACCCCAACTGCAGAATTTTCCTCACCAAATCAAGGGGGGGGGGGAGTGAAAAACGTTCTAGAAAGAATGTATCAAATACCGGATTAATATTTTCGTTGACAAGTGTTTTCTCATCATCTGAACTCGAATCATCCTCAATTACAACATGCTTTGGTTTTTTCTTTTTTAATCTTTTCCTTTTCTGTTTATCGTCTTTAAAAATACCATCATCGTCATCTTCGTCGTCGCCATCATCATCCGTATATTCCGAGGCACTAATATCCTCCAAATTCACCGAGTCAAACTGTGTTTTCTTCGTGTTTTCTTGAAAGAAACTCTCGGAAGTAGCTTCTATGTTTTCTTGACTATCTTCTTGTACATCAGATCTAACAGTAGCTACACTAGCAAGCGTCCCTTCTGAAACAACAGTAACACTTTCGAGATTGTCATCTTCAGGTTCGGCCATTATTGTTGACAAGCAGTCTTTTTAAAAAATTTTCATTCTCAAACTTCCACTTCCGACTGTAAAATTTCCTATTCACCGTCCAGAAGATCACTTCATTAAAACTACATCAGCAAGAAAATTATAATAAACTTAATTCATTTTATTAATTGTATTTGTATCCAAATGGATTCCAAATACAAGACTACTAAATATAATCAAATGAAAATCATTAACATTATTTTCTCACTCTGGTATGATACTAGCTGTCGCTCGACACACCTTCACGACATACCCATAGCACAGATGAAAGACCCCGTTTACACGGTACCAGAAGAATTTGGGACCAGACTGAAATTCATCCTTTTTCGCCTGTTTACACGCAAATTCGTCTGTAGAGGGTCTCAAATTTGCCCGGTTCCACGAAAAAGGACGAATTTCAGCACGGTTCTAAATTTGTCACATACTGTGTAAATGGGACCATAGCAATTGGCAAAAGGTGTTGTTTAGTTCAAAACTTCATGGGTTTCATGCATTGCAGCAAACGGTGATTAACCAACTGACTGTGGTCAGAATATTTTCTTTTCATATGTTACAGTCTTCACTCTTGTACTTTGTTATGTCAATGTTTCTGAAGTTGAGCAACTTGAGTTCACCAGTAATAATGACCACCATCCCGGCTTTACTACAAAAAGTAAAACCCACCAATATACAATAAATGCAATAGGTACGCGCATGTACAATGTACATTACGTGATGAAGATTGGAAAACAAAGGACACAAATTTCTAGGAAAAGTTACAGTAATTTGATACGCCACTCTCACTGTATTAATTAATTAATAATGACCAATAATATAAAAATAGAAACATACATTCAGAACGAAAGTTTTAGAAATGCAGTTTTCTTGTTCTAACAATTAGAGAAATTAGGGGAAAACCTCAAGAGTTTAGATACATTTTGGCAGCCGTTCATTGGATATTACTGGTATATATTCAAAATTATTCACAAAATAAAGTAATGTGTTTACATTTTGGTAACCAAGGGAGACGATGTCATGCAGTGAACATATTAGTCGTTTTGAAATTTAATATGGCAACGAAATAAGAGCCAATTTTTGTCAAAGCGAAGCGAATGTGTATTCATTTAACAGGTATTTAATCGCTTAGCCTAAAAAAAGACAAGCACTACAGATTTCAAGGGGATATTTATTCACACGAACAAGTTTTGATCCGCTAAAGTCAAGCACATGGCTTCAGGACAGGAAGGAGCGAAGGCACCGTTTCTAAACGATTATAAACTTGAGTTCTTTCAAAAAAGGTTTCCTCAAACGTTAACCGGTGGATTGCGGGTTAAAATTGGCGCTCCGTATTATGTATATATTTACCAAGTTATTGTATTTCTTTGGCCAGCTATTCTTGGTGGGATTTTCACTGTACTGACTGAATTTGATGTACTACAAGATTATGTTTGCTGTTATATATATGGCGGGATAATATGGTTGACAGTTACATGTGTATATTTGCTAAGATTGTATTTATTAAGAGACGCGTATACTAAAGGAAGTCAATCAAGTAGGCATAATGTTTTAGCCGATGACGATCAAATAGATTTTTCATCGTGTTGCGATAAAGATACTTTTCTTTTTATATTCCCAGCAAGTAAATATTTATACAGACTTTTGCATGGTGCACTGTTAGCCGTTTTATGTGGTATGACATTTCTGTATCTGCTACCATCTCGGTTACAGGATCTAGGTTACGGCACTGGTTTGACCATTGTTCTGTTAATATTTAACTGGTTAACATTATGTATTGCAAGTCATTCGTTAACTGTTCAGCCTCCTCCAGAGACGGCTATCTTTAGGTCGTTAGACAACGTGGGGCTAAATGTGTTTATGAGGCCTTTTTATGTTGCATCTATTACCATAGTTGGTGTCTTGGCACGGTAAGTTATATTAATATTATATTAGCATTAATCTATAAACCTGGTGAGCTATAATGCCCTTCTCTGTTCTTTTATCAAATTTCAGTCAATCACATTAATGGTTCATTAATAGTTTGTTAATGAGTTTAAAATTTTGTGGTCTCTTTAAGCTGGTGCACAGAATGTACGATATCATTTTTCTAGGCATTACTCCAGTTTAGAAGAGATCAGTGAAATGCTTTATATTGTCATGGCAACACTACCTCTCTTGTGGACAGTTGGTCTCTTGCCGCCACTAGACGCCTTGTTTCCTTGGCTTGGTGAACAAGTATTGGTTTTTGCATTAGGTGGCACATATATGGCATCAGACAGCAGGTAAAGGAATATTGGCATACACATATCATCTGTTCTGCAATATGATTGATTTGCAAGTTGATGTGCTGTCCCATTTGATCAAATTTAGAAGTTATTGGCAGGTGACCTGTCTGCAAGTTATACATTATAAATAGGCCCTTTGTATGATACTTAGCATTACTGTACTCTATTAATGCTGAACAATACTGATATTTTACTCTAATTAATGCTGAACAATTTTACTAGTCAAGGCTAGAGTGCTGCCAGTCAGCAAAGTTAACCCATTGGGCTTCAGCACTCATCCCTTGACAATAAAGATCATCTGGCATTAGACAGAGTAAGACTTGTTTTAGATACGCTGAATTTCGGTTGCGTCGAATGCAATTCAAACAATAGATAATGAAGCTTAACGAGGTTTAGCAACTCATTGTCTTAATTGCAGTCGACGCGACCAAAATTCGATGTATAAAAAATAGAGTAGGGCACATAAGGGCACAATGCAGCCTACTGGGTTAATAGTGTCATCCTGTCAGTGATCAGAATCTTCCATTGTTTTGAAAATCCCACTGTTCTCCATGTCTTCCAATCATACTGTACATCGTTTTGACTTTTTGTAGTATTCAAATGCAAAGGGCCTTTACTAATTACTGTATATGTTATAAAAATAATTTGTTATACTTAAACCATTAAGTGCACAAGACTCTCCCCTTGACAAGTAAAATCATCTGACATTAGATACAGTAAAATACTAAATTTAAAATTAAAATGGTTAACTTGTTAAGTCTTTGTGCCCTAATTCCCCCTTCTAATTCCCCCTTCTTTGTCTAATTCCTACTTACAGCTTTGGCTGGTCAATGTGATTTACTATTAGTCGAGACTAATTTTCTGTCAAGGAAAAGTGTTTGGTATAAAATGGATTTATTCTGAACCTTTTAGATTACTGTTTTCGTTGATGGTATCTGCTTTGGCCTTCATTCCTGCATGTTTTATCACGAACTATCTTGCACTCGTCACTTACTCAGCGGCCATTGGATTCATTCTTAGCCTTGACCTATTCCACATAACTCAAGTCATTGTAAACTATGTGACCAAAGGCCACCTAAAAGATGGTCACTTTCCTACCATACCAACCATCATAAAGTATGGTATAATACTGGTTATTGGTACTGTTATTGCTGGTGTTACCAGTCACTTCCACGAGGATGCAACCAAAAGCATGTTTGATTCATTCGGTTACGTCTTTGTGGTTTTATTGCTGCTGTTAAAAGTTCTGGGTGATCTACAATATGTCTACATTGCCTCGGGATTGACCAGGAATCCGTTGTATATAAAGAGCGCGACTTCTGTGGAGAGGTTGAAGAAATTTCAACGTAAAATTGGATATGTTGGTCACATTTATAACATCCTACTTTCATATAGTACGTGTTTTGTTTTTGAAAGTGTATTTTATGCATTAGATCCTACGTAGATATGTATCTCAATATAAATGGAAAATAATTTCTTCCAAAACGAAGCAAAGTTTTGACCAAAATGGGTTTTCTGGCATACCACTATTCTTCCCTTGCGCCTGCACGCGGGCTATTTCTGGCATGACGTCAAAACACGTGACATGCATGAAATCGCGATTTATACCGACAGTGCACGCGTACAAACGCACAAGTTGTAACAAACCTGCAGCAGACTTATAATAACAATGCTGTTCCAAAAACTTGTCAACAGGATGTGTTCGCACGGCTTGTTCCCAGCTTGTTGACAACTTACACACGTAAAACTCCCACAACTTGTCAACAAGATGTGTTCGCAACAGGCTTGTAGCAAGCTTGTCAACAATGTTGTTATTTCATCAAGTTACAGTAATTGCTACAAGGTTGTCACTCACAACTTGCTGACAAATTGTTGAATTGCAAGACGATAACAAGTTGTTGGAACAACTTGTAACAAGTCTGTTGAGCTCAACAACCTTGTAGCAAGTTGTGAACAAGCCGTTGACAACTTGTCAACAAGCTGGGAACATGCAGTGCGAACACATCCTGTTGACAAGTTGTTGGAACAACATTGCTACAAGTCTGCTGCAGGTTTGTTACAACTTGTGCGTTTTTACGTGTGTACAATCGCACAAGCTATAACAAACCTGCACACGTAAAAATAACACACGTAAAAATATCACACCTTGTAGCAAGTCTGCTACTAACAAGCCGTCAACAAGTTGTGTTCGCACTGCTTGTCCCAAGTTGTCAACAAGTTTGGAAGAAGCTGTTAACAACTTGTAACAAGCTTGATGACATTATCAGACTTGTGGCAAGGTTGTTCCAACAAGTCTGATACAGTCATGATATAACAATATTGTTCCAGCCTTGTTTCGTCAACCTTGTAACATTCTTGTTATATCATGTTTGTATCGGACTTGAAACAGAACAACCTTGAAACAGAACAACCTTGAAACAAGTCTGATAATGCCATCAAGCTTGTTACAAGTTGTTAACAGCTTGTTCCAAACTTGTTACAACAACTGGGAACAAGCAGTGCGAAGACAACTTGTCGACAGCTTGTGAACAGATTTGTAACAACTTGTTTGCAGACTTGTAACAACTTGTGCGTTTTTACGTGTGTATACTACAAAGTTGTTGAGCTCAACAGACTTGTTACAAGTAGTTCCGACAACCTGTTATCGTACTGCAATTTAACAACTTCTCAACAAGTTGTGAGTGACAACCTTGTAGCAACTTGATAAAATAACATTACAACTTGTTGACAAGCTTGCTACATTTTATTCTCTAGTTTGTCCGTTGATCATGGTAGCTTTTCTTGGAACATTCCTCAATACTTCAAAAGATCTCGGTTCATTTGTTAAAGCATTGGGAATAATTAGATCTCTAAGATGGGTAAGCTGTACTTTGGATATTTACTAAAACTATCTGTACCAGTGTAGGTAGTACCAATGTGAAAATGCTGTGCTGAGTGGTTATATTACTCCCTGAAATAAACAAGCAGAAACTCGACGTTTCGAGCGAAGGCCCTTTGTCAAGAGCCTTCGCTCGAAACGTCGAGTTTCTGCTTGTTTATTTCAGGTAGTAATATAACCACTCAGCACAGTACTTTGGATATTATACGTATACGGGCTGATATTCCTTGACAAGTTTTATTCGTTCATGTGTCCGCCAAGGAAAATTTGACAAGTGTACAAGAAATACCTCTATGGTTTTGGCAAACAAAAGTCGGCCTTGACGTGAGAAATATTTAACAACATTCCGTGCACATGAACAACAAAACTTGTCGGGGAAAACTTGTTGACTGTACTCACGAGTAGGGGTGCACCGGATTTGGAATTTTCAAATCCGGATTTACCGGATTTAGACAAAAATTCCGGCCAGATTTGAGATAAACCGGTAATGGGGACAATTGGGGATAAATCAGTATTCAAAATGGCGGTTTATGTTTTTTACTATTTTTAGTTAGATTGTGTTTAAACCTTTTTTAAATATCTTTTTGTTAATAACTTAACATTTTATAATAATATAAGTGTTTTATAAACTTTAATGCTGCCAAATTGATGGTCTATCCCATTCTTGGTGATTTTTTTAAGGTGAAAACAGAAATTTAAATCCGGCCGGATGCCGGAAAATTCATTAAATCCGGCCGGAATTCCGGCCGGATTTGAAATCCGGTGCACCCCTACTCACGAGAAAGTAAACTTGTCAATCACTTGGCGCAGTCGTCAGGCGCCTTTCACCTCTGAGATCGTGGGTTCGATTCTCGTTACGGACTCATGCATGACACTTATGTGAAAAGAGTCAGTGAACGCTCTACCGAAAGTCGTGGGTTTTCTCCGGGAACTCTGGTCTCTTCCCACAGGGAATGTTGACAGGGTGGGTTGGGATTATCCCCCCAACTGACCCTTCCATCGTAGCTGCATGTGCTCCGTGATCAGACATGAGTCATTGTAAGGTGGCTGTCATAGGCGCCCTTAGAAAGCCTTCGACTCGATCAGGTTGAGCTGCGTCCCTCGTAACTCAGCTTAGCTCTCAGCTGCACGTAAGGATGATTAGCACACCCCACTTACTTACGAAAACTTGCCCGTGTGTAAGGCACTTAAATTAACCCATTCAGTGACAGCACCCTCCCCTTGACGAGTATTAAATAAAGTCGTGTGGCGTTAGAGTTTAGACAGAGTGAAATAATAAAGTAGGGCGCAAATGCGCAATGTCACTTAAAGGGTTAACAAGATATCTGAGCAGATACCCTTCACGGGTAAAATCGTCTGGCGTTGCACATAGTAACATAATAAAGAAGGGTGCATTGATAGCGCGATTTATGGACCAGTCTCTCAGTCTCTAACTTTACAACTATTTTACTTATTTATCTTAGGCCTGGCAGAATACGCTCAAATGTCTTCTCGAAGTAACCATATGTTGTGTGATAGTCTGGATAGACATAAACAGCACATGGTGGAGCAACCTAGGCATTGGTGTGCAACTTATGCTAATTAGCATCATCACCGACCGACTGAGCGAATTACTCACAAAGATGAAATTCATGTTTACGGTGTTTATCACATCATGGACTGAGGCGAAACAAAGGCATTCCGCAACCGTGCCCACTTTAATAACATCCCTGGTCTTTTTCCCACTAATTTTGGCGATTGTGGCGGTTTCAGTTGCATTGTCAGCGCCGCTAACCCCTCTCTTTTGCTTTCCTATATTTTTCGTCGGTTTTCCACGCCCCAAACGTATGTGGCCATCTTTGGCGGCGCAAATTTCAAACGGTAGCGAGGGGTCTGTATTCTACCAACAACTTGTGCCGAAAATTTGTAATGAATTGCAACGCGCCATTGCAAGTGGGAACCTCGTTAAAAAAAGCGATTTTTTACTGGTTCGCTACCAAGATAGACTCATTGTAGTGCACATATTAGAGCGAGGTTATAAGTACTGTACTTTGATAGCACGAGGTTTAGAACTACAAGAAACTTCGTGCCATACAGTAGAAGCGGCCAGGGTGGACGATATTTTTGAGGACGTGTTTACAAAGGATAGAACTTCAACGTTTGGGTTTAACCCCTACCCGTTACATACACTGACACCCCTAAATTGTCTGGTAGTCGAAACCTATTCTGATGCGCATAATGTTCTTACTGGAGTTATCGACCAGCCGGAGAATATTGGAAGGCAGTCAACTAACTTTATGAAATGTTTAGTTTGGGTTTTATTGAACCATCAGAAGTGTAAGAAAGGGAACGATAGGAATGAAAACTCTGTCGTGGAAAATCACGAGACTTTTGATACGAGTGAAGTGACGGAATTGAAAGATGATCATATGGCTCTTCAAAACACTCAAACGACGTTGTGTGATTTACAGAGTGAGGAAAATTTAAGATCACTTCCAGTAACACAAGGTAATACTGAGGACTGCTATTGTTATATTTATTATGTGATCTGTGCACCTGCCTTTTTGTTTTACCTTTCTGCAACTTCGACTTCAGTTACATGTGAGAATTCTAACATCTGGTACTCCTGTTTTTTCTCCTGTAGTAATACTGCATGGGCAAATAAGTGATGGCCCTAACTGCACCTCTAGAACGATTAGTTAGAAGTGATAGAGCTATCCAGTATTATTAAAATTAGTTTAGATTTCCTCTGTAGTAACAATAGTAGTAATGACTGACAGAGATGATCCGCACTCGACCTAGCCTGCTCGTAGCCCAAAATTTCGTTCAAAGGGGCTGCGAGCAGGCTACACTTGACCCCTAAGGAGAATAGTTTAAAACCGATAGAACTATCAAGTATAAACACTGTAAATTTAGTTTCGATTTAACGCAGCCAATCAAAGTTAAAGAAAGTATGGAATGAATCTCTGATAAACTTTCTTCTATAGAAAAGCACTCGAAGACAGCAACAATTCTTCCCGATGCAGACTGGTCTGATAAAGAGTGGTCTGACCACAGCGACTCGAGTGACAATGAGGACGAAGTTACAACCAAACCTTTAGAAACTGTGGGGGATGACCCTCTGATGTTCTTTGGCTTGCCCGCTCCAGATATTGGAAGCCAAACGAAACTTAACAGTGGGACCTCACGAAAATCAGGGGGCGTGTTCCCCAGTAGAAAAATCACACCTGTGGCTGTGGAAACTAGGATGGAGCATGCCTCACAAGTAGGTGGGGTAGGGGGTGGGCAGCCCTCGACCTGGTACAATTTGCTACATACTTGCAGGAAGTACCTCTCCCAAATACAGTCTGAATTTCCAGAAGAATGGTTTGGTGATGTTACCAGCAATGTTAACACACATGGAAAAGCTGACCAAACCCATGATGAGGTACAACTCAGTATGTTTCGGGATGTTGTGATGTACTGTTATGCTGTGATCAATATCTGTGGTTTACATGGCAGTGTTCTCGATGCTGGACCTGCGCATATCAACAGAGTTTTTCAAGACCGTATTCCCTGGTCACCGGAACTTGATCTGTTGGAACAAGACGATGAATTGAAACAACTGGTTTTGAAAGCGTATAGGTGAGTGTGGAAGAAATTGTACAAGTTTTGCTCAGTGTTTGTCGCGCAGTTGTTAAGCATTGTGCCTTATTGCACCTCTAAGGAGAACAGAAATGGATAGCTTTCCAGTATAATAAAGTTAGTCAGAGCAAGCGCCTTTCACCTCTAAGATCACGGGTTCGATTCTCGCTTCGGAACAATATTGTTGAGCCTGAATCGGGTGTAACAATATTGTTCAATATTGTTGACAGCTATGAACAATGTGGACAGCAAAACATTGTTCAATCCTGTTTTCATCAGTATTGCATCAACCTGAGCGTTTTTACGCGTGTAGGCCTGTCTAGGCCACAGTAAGTAACATAAGTAAGCGTAATACTTGATGTAGTCGGTCACTGAAAAGCCCCAATGGGGAGTGAGCTGAATGATAATGTAATGTAATGTAAGTTTAGTTCCTGGCTCTGAAGACGTTTTAGTAAGTCTATTATCAAGGGCCCATTTGCTCCGCTACTTCCCGTGTCAAGTTTGAGACAAGCTGCTCAAACTTTTGTGGCATCAGTTTCCAATACACTCAATTTTCTATGTTAGCTCATCCCACTTACCAGGTAGGGAGACCCATATGAACAGTCCCTATTAGAACTACTATATATTCAAATGATATTCATTTTCAGGTATGCATTCAAACTAACGTACGATGAAGCAGTTCTTGGTCCGGTTGATGATCACGATGAACTACTAGAGACATTGAATGATTACGAAGAGAACTGGTTCATTGGAATTGAAAATAAACCTGGGTGGAATGAAGCGATATTACAAGAGAAACCCAACCTATTTACAATAGGATATGATGCTGATAAGGTAGGTTAACAGAGGATTGCTTGTTGTCATTAACTATTAGAGAACATTAGATTTTGAATTGTGATGTCCAAACGCCCTCTTGCGCAAGGGCATGTTTTATTTTCTAACGATGCATAACTCAGCCTCTGTTTTTCAATTATCACACGGAGTTGCCTTGAAGATATGAAATTTGCAATTATGTGAAATTCAGTGATGTTGTATTAAAGGACTTGTTTGTCGTATACCTGAGCCTGACTCTTCTACAGTCCCTCAACAAGGCAGGCGCTGCGGGTTAGGACCATCGCCGAATTTTGAGGGGAGGTGCACACCTCCCCCAAGATCGTTTTGCACCTCCCCCTGAGATTTTTTGCAACTCCCCTGAAACGTCATGCACCTTCTAGTCTGAAAGGTTAAATTATGTACCAAAGTGACAATTTGCCAATTTTTTACCCTTTTAATGCATTAGGTTAATGGGAATAAACTTGCCACACATTCCGAAAGCCTTTGAATAATAGCTTGAATAACTGTATAACAAAGCTGTGACAATAACAATTTTTCGACCCTTCAATATTTTGCGAAGGTTCCGCCAATGGTCGAATGAAATCTATTCCCATTTCTTCGCAGTAAACCATTTCATATTTTCATTTTTTTTAGGCTACGTATACCAGTCACTTGCTGACGAAACAAGAACTAATATTATACACTGGAACACTGAACAGTGAAGCCGTGAACGGTCAGTGGTCGTCTCTGGCCTTTGAACTACTTTATTTAACAAACGACGATGAGGAGCGATATAGTATTCAAGCTCATCCAGTACTGTTGAGAAATCTCACGATGCAAGCAGCAGATCCGCCATTAGGATACGCTGTGTATTCATCTGGGCCCGTGCATATTACGTATGGCTTAATGTAGCCATAAAACTTATATAATGGCAGATGGCCTGTATAGGCGTGGAGTGTTTAAATAGTGTGGTTACATACTGTATATGGGTCAATATAGGTCAGTAGGTGCAGTGTGGATTATAACATTTTCGCTTGGGTCCGAGCCTAAATGTCCGCTTAAGTGTGTGTTGCTCGGATATTGGGTAAAAATGGTCGGCCAGCTTTTCAATATTTACATTCAATGGTCGTGCTGATCGCTATTTAACTTTTGGCAAGCAGTCCCAACGATCAATGCAACCGAAAATGTCTGCTACATAAACTTGGTAGTTGGTACTATAGATATCTTATGTACACTAGATAGCGCATCTCTTTTAGTAAAATTGAAGCCAAGAATATTCCAGCGGTTACCCCCATTTGAATAGATGGCGGCCATGTTGGTCGTTCCCATTTGCTAATAAACGCTTAAAAACAACAATAACTTTCATCATTTGAATGGTTTAAAAAGTATTTGGAATAGGTTTAACTTAATGTTTAAGTTCTCTGTTTAAGAAATAGAAAACATACGAATCTCCTCATTTCATGGGAACGACCTGACTGCAATCACAGCTCCAATCTTTGAATTGCAGAATAATTAGATGCACTATCTAGTGTATAATATAAGATATCTATGGTTGGTACCATAAACTTTTGTTGCCCGTCACAGTGAAACCAAGAAAATGTTTTGTGTTCATTTTCTTGCATGCTTTTTGAACAGTCCTTAATTTAAATGAAAATTGCATATTTTATCTGATCGGTCAACATGTCTTCACAGAATAAAATTAGTGCTTTTGTTCGGCAAAATATCCGAGTGCAGACCATTGTAATTCACACTGTGTGATGAAACAATGAAACGTTGATGAAACAATGTTATTGAGTGTTACATGAAGTAATGTGGCCTGGACACTGCTGATTTGTATTGACTGTGTGCTTATTTCCTCTGTTGCCTCTCTCGACCTACATCTCGCAAGGCCTCGTGGCATCATGGGAAACTCGCACCAGTTCCCATGATACAACGAGAGCGAAGTAAGCATGCTCATATGGATCTTGTACACCAGAAAATACACCGCCAACATGTACATTGGCATTTATCAATATATTAAAATAATAATAATTATTTTAATAATAATTATTATTATATTATTAATAATACATTATTTTGTATTATGTACATTGGCATTTATTACTATATTAAAATACATTACCCGTTTACATCACTCGGGAATAACCTTTTTCCACGAATTAAAGTCTTTGATCATCAGGAGTGATTCTGGAATGCCTTAATTCATTGAGATCATTGTTAAGCATCTCTATATGGGAACATGATTCACCCATCCACAATATTAATTTTCTTTCGCTGTAAAAAATGAATACGGTATTATTTATACTGTTATTTTAAAGGTTTAACCCATTAAGCTGCATTGCACCCAAATGCACCCAACTTTATTATTTTACTCTGTTTAACGCCAGACGATTTTACTCGTCAAGGGACGAATCTTGCGCATTAATGGGTTAACCCTTTAAGTGGCAAATGGCAATGCGCCCAGATGCGCCCCACTTTATTATTTTACTCTGTCTAACGCCAGACGATTTTACTCGTCAGGGGGAGAGTGTGACAGTTTGTCCAAAGAATTCAAGGATTTCAAGCATGAAAAGTGTATATAGGTAGAGCGGCGGTCTAGATACCCGAAGATGCGAGTTCAAATCCCGCTCGAGCCAACAAATTTTTCGTTGCTCGATTGCAGTGTCAGATTAATATGAAACTAGTTTTTCGTATCACTGAGGATGGTTCTGAAATATACCTTTGGCTTCTCTTAGTTTCTTTAATCCTTTGATAGCAAATCTTTTGTACAACCTAAGAAGAAAGGCAACTAGCCAATCAGAACTGGCGTTCTGAGTCAATAGTTTTCCAACGAAATCAGGAGCGGATCTAGCACCCGGCCCTCCTCAAGAAAACTCTGGTATTCCATATTTGAGTTGTGAGTACTACTTATTATATTGAAACGATTGATTTTCGAATACGCGAGAAAATAATAGAGACCTTACGATGTGGGACGGCAATGTGACGACGACAGCTATTCATACAATGAGATTCATAATATTTAAGAAAAAAAATGAATGATTAATATACCACGGGAGTTTGAGACGTCATCCACGGTCTGTTTACAACGGGAAACTACAGACTTTTACGTTTTGGATAAAACGCCTGCATTTCAAGACGCGAGAAGTGATGCTCAGCAAATTAGCTCAGTACTACAGTGGAACTTTCTCAACAATAAAGCCACTATTTTAAGCTAACCAAACAGTATTAAATTGATACGATCAACAATAGTCTACAAACTTTCTTTACAATCGTTTATTTGAATGATTTTATTCTGGTCGTTTTCGTTGCGTTGCCGTCCTACATCGTAAGGTCTCTATTCAAGTACCAATACGGCGGGTCGCCATATAATGTAACACTTTTCTGAATTTTTACATGAAATACAAGTACGGAGGACAAATTTAACCAATAAACGTAGTGCTCAGAATGCAAGGAAAGGAAACTTTCTGGGGGAGAATGCTCCCGGACCCCCGTAATAATGCACCTCCTCTGGGAAACCTCCACCCTCCCCCTCTACCAAATCAGGCCAGATCACTGGGACAGATCTGCCCATTCCGGAAAGTAACAGGCCCGTACGCTTATGATTGTTATTACACCTACATTGTGAAGATAGATGGCATATATTGTGAAGCATATGTGATCAATAACACAGGTTGAGGGGATATCCAGCATTCGTCCAGTTTGTTGACCACAGCTACTGACATATATTTAGCAAATTTCCCCGCTTCCATACGACCTGAGACATCTTCCGCGATTTGTTTGTCTTTGTAACTCTACAATATCGTAGGAGATGAAGAAAATATTTCAAAAAAATTTTCTTTACAACTTTGCCTTTGGAAATGGTAGAAAATGGAAGTTGTGAAGCACTTTTGAATTATATCACCGCTAAACTCAGCATGAGTGAATTTACTATATGAGTAAATTCTTAAACACGTCCGAATTTATCATTATGATAAATTCGCGGCAAATTTTGAATTTATCATAATAAATTCACGGCACCTAACACTAACCCCAACCACTAACCACTAACCCTAATTTTTTACTTTAAAAATCTAACTTTTTAAAGCTTTTCTTGCTTTTCAAAACTCTTTTAAAACTTTTTTAAAAACTATTTTTTTAAAAAACTTGAAAAACCTAACTTTTTTAACTTTTTATAACTTTTTTAAAAATCTAACTTTTTAAGCTTTTCTTGCTTTTCAAAACTCTCTTAAAGCTTTTTAAAACTTGTTTAAAAACTATTTTTTTAAAAAACTTGAAAAACTCCCCATCCCCCCTGCGACTGGCCTTCCTTTTAGTGCCATTACATTTATAACAAGAAATCTTCTGTAATGCTTGTGGTTTTATGATTAACTCTATTGATAAATTCAAAATGTGCCGCGAATTTATCATAATGATAAATTCGGACGTGTTTAAGAATTTACTCATATAGTAAATTCAAAGGTGGAGCTCATGTTGGCTAAACTATATCCTTTCATGGTTTCACAAGTGATGATTGCGGGCATTGGTAGCGCAGTCGCCACAGCAAGCGCCTTCAGGGCAGGCTTTTAGCCAGGGTCCTGAAAGACGGCGTCCAATCTTGGTATAACGATACATCTACAGTAAAGG